TATATATATATATATATATATATATATATATATATATATATATATATATATATATATATTGCCAAATATTATCTCGAGAAATAATTTCTAATGATTATAGAGGAGGATCCAATGTCTTGATACTCCGCTTCGTTTAACTGCGTAAATTATTAAGGCGTGTGTTCCGAATTATCGACGCGTGAATCTGCGATCGTGTCCCGTGTACAATTCCTCGCGTACACTCGTACGCGATAAACAGCAACGAGACACTATCGCGTGACGGTAGCAGACGCGAACGTCGTCGTCGTCGTCGTCGTCGTCGTCGTCGTCGTCGTCGTCGTCATCAGTGTCGTGTGCACACGTGCGCATTGCGACAGTCTACGTGGACCACGTGAAGCGTCTGTTCGGGATGCATAATTTATGTACAAAAGTCTCAACGTGTTGTCGCTATTTTCTAGTGTCTTCCTAGAGTGCGCTCTTTGGGCGAAACAGAAAAAAAGAGTCTTAATTTGGTCCCTTGTTGTTTATATTATTTATAAATTTATATTCGCCTATAAAATTTCGTATTCTACTCCTTATGCAGCAAATTCGCCGAAACTGTCCGTCATATCGGGCAAGAAACTGTTTGCCTCTGCACGGCTCTACAGCCTATATGAAAAAAAGGGGCTCTATGTAAACATCACGTAGACAATACGGATAGAGAGGAGTCACGTACACGCAATTTTGTGCTCTACAGAGAGGCACGTTCGGACCGGCCAAGCCGTTGTCTTACAATTTGTTAATTTATTAATTTTGATAATATTAGTATTGATATCGATGTCCAACTTTCTGCACACGTATAATTATTGAAATCGAGATGAAATCTACTCAATTCAAACGTGACAATTTTCGTTCGCGAATTTACACCGCGAGTTCGGGCAAACGCGACCACTGAGGGAACGGCAATTTTCTCGAGAAATGTCGACGTATGTCCCTTTAAAAATCCCTTTTTGCTCTCGAAGCTTCCGAAGAAACGCGGAATCCCGTTGCCGAATGCGAGAGCCTCAACTGAACGTGCGCACGCACACGACTCGGGCAGTGATGTAACGGTCTCAGTACCCGAACGCGGACGTACACGTACTCGCTGCGAAAAGTGGCGGAGATGTGCCGGAGATCTTGTTTGCGCACGATTTCATGAGAGATATACACACATTCCCCATAATAAATACCATATAATTAAGTACGAGGTAGCGCGCGCGACGAGCAGTCGGCAGAATGTAAGGAGTGTGTTGTAACCTTTGGAACAACATCGCGACACACGAGTAGAGGCATCGCTTTCAAAATTCCGTATGTGGGTAGGGTGTACCTTTGAAGAAGTCCTTCAAGAGAATGTACACAGGTACTCGTTCTTTCTCTCTCTCTTTCTTCCTTAGAAAAGGGAGAAAGAGAATAATTTATCATGTAAGTGGGTGAATGAAGATGCAGGGCCAGGTGGGCGAGAAACACCTGTACGTTTCGGTGTACTCGGCACACACATCCGAGTACAAGAGAACGACACGACGTTATGTTTACGCTCGGGTACTCTCTCGCGTTCTATAGGCACGTCATTGGACGTCACATGTGTCCGGTCCGAAGACCCGCAAACTGACCTGCACGACGACGACGACGACACTGTCGATAGTGTATCGAGCTTATCGAGACGTGGCGGTGCGTCGCGGGGCCGTGTCCTGGTCCCGACGTCCTTTCTTGCTCTCGTCCCGGGTCTGGTCCTCGTCCTCGCCGCTGCTGCCGTCCAACTCGATTGGCGGCAGCGTTGTAAACCGCCGTTGTAATCGACGAGCGAGAGCGAGCGAGTGAGCGAATGATAGCGGCGCGCGTTGTAAACAAAGTATGGCGACGACGGCGACGGTGACGACGGCATGAGTAAAAGGGGGCAGGGGACCCGGGGGTCGCGGGTGGGCGCGGGCCTCGACGGTTTCCCAGAATATGGGCTGGTTTTCAGGGTAAGCGCAGATTCACTTGGTTTTTACAGCGATTCGCCCGCGCAACGACTCCCTCAGCGACGTCAACGCGACGAAGACGCGCCGGTGCGAAGACACATTATCGTGCGTCTCGTGTTGTGTGTTGTACAGCGGAGAGTCCTTCGTCACCGGCAAAAAGTTGTTTTCCTCAGACACATGTCGCGCGTGTATCGCACGCGCGACCCACGAATTCATTTCCGAGCGATTTCGCGCTTCTGGCGGGGAGAGCGCCAGGAGCGGCTCGCGAGGAAATTCGCACAGGTTGGTGCCCTTTCAAAGGAAGGTAGTATCTTTCTGCGCTCTCATACCTCTTCGTATATATTCGCCTTTCTCAAAGTATCGATCATGTATCATTTTCGTCAACTCGTATCAACTCGTGAAAAATGAAAAATTTTCCACGTGAACTTTGCGACTTTAGTTGCGATTACGCAACTTTTCGCATAATGTATGTAAATGTGAAACTTGTTACTTGTTTACGTTTCCGCTAAACTAGATAGAAGTTACATGATCGAGATATTCTAATCTCCTTTGCTGTTACCAAATGTAAAATTATTCGAGAACAAACACGACGAAAATGCCGCTAATGCGGCCACGCGAATTCTTTCGCGAAATTTCAGTTAATTTTCTAAAGCTCATACATCCCCTTTTGATCTTATCGCAATGCCATTCTCGAGTCAGGTTTAAATCTTTCGACGATCAAGGCTCCGAGCTTCGATCAACTGGTTTTTTATCAAATAGCAAAAATCTAAGAACAAGAACGCAGACTTCTACATAAAGCATAACGCACAACGTGTAAGAGAGTGAACCAATCAGAGATTGGACCAATCCTTAATTTCTATTCCCGGAATAGAAGTGAATCTATTCCCTCATGCGTTATACTTTATGCGAAAATCTGCATGAAAAAAAATGCTGTTGCATCAATAGAAATTGCCAATATCATCGTGATTGGAATAAATCTTCATGATTCAACAGCAACTCAGCCAGAAATGATTCGTTGATCGATGTCGAAACGATGTCGAATCGACATCGAAATCGTGAAATCGACGTCGATTCGACATCATTTCGACATCGATTGACGAATCATTTCTGGCTGGGAATATTATTGAAACCAATATATCGTATATTGCTTCAATGACTCAAGTATTAGCTTCAATGGCATTGCCATTGAATCAAGAAGACTTACGCCAATTACGACGATGTTGGCAATTTCTGTTGATGCAACAGCATTTTTCCGTGTGCGCTCCGCCCTAAGATCTAAAATCGAAAATTCGTACGTACCTCTCTGACGTGGTCCATGCGCGGCGATCAGCGCCGACGGAAGAACCGCGTGTACCGACCGCGCGTCAATTTGAAAGTCGACTGATGCGCGCACACGAGAGCGAAAAGCCGCGTGCAGCATTGCGGTGGTGGCGGCGATGGTGGCGGCGGTGGAGGCGACGGAGACGGCGGGTTCCTCGCACGTTCTCCAGTCTCTCGGCGAACGCGCGTAACGTGGAAGTCCACCGTTACTGCCTCTTCGTCTGGTCGCCCCCGTTCCTTTCTCGCCGTACACATGCGCTGCACTTTCTTTTCCACTTGCGCATGTCGTCGACTCCCTCGCCCGATCGTGTAAGGTCCTTTTTTCCATTCGGCATCGCAATTTCCTTCGACCTGGTCGTTTTCCACTTTACGCTTTCTGGGCTGGATCTTTTGCTTGGTCGCTCATTTAAGTTTGATTCGTATTACTTTTTAATCACAAAACGTATCTATTCAGTTGTGTATGTTGCGCATAATAGATAAGGTAACAGACATTTACCAGCTTATCACAGCTGTCGCTTCTCTGTATATCTGCAAAAGAGAGGATAGCAGTAAGAGTTGAAGAAATGAAAGTGTGCTCGTATACGATGATTTGTCAGAACAAGCGGCGGGTTTAGCTTGTGGAATGTTCAAAGAAAAATTCATCAAATCTGATCGAATTTAAGTCGTCTAGCGTGTTGTTGAATCATGCGATTACATAAAAAATAAGAGGGATCTCAAACAAGCGTAGAGTCATCATACACTTAAAAAAGAAATCATGAACTTTGTAAATAGGAAAGTCGTCTGATTTGCCATTTAGTCGTACTACTTCTTCGATTTCTCGACAGGCACGATGGCGACTCGTAACGGAAATCGTGCAACTAATAATAATTGCTAGATCTATTATGTCTAACGAGCCGCAAAAATATTTTTCTGTAAATACATGTAAGAGACACTAGAAAAGACATTCGAGAAATTATTTTGGTTCCTATTTGTATTTATTGCTCATTAGCGTTCGTTTTCTGTTTCATTTTCTGCTTTACCTACAATGGATTCGCGATTATCCACTTTAATGTACAGACTCTTGTACTTATCGCAAAAATATGATCGCAAATAATACTATCTGTCACTAGCTTCTGGTATCGCGCGAAATTTCCCGGTGGCCGTCTCGCGTCATCTAGCGGTGTTTACAAAGATTCACTTATTCAATGAGCTTGAATCTCGGTTAGAGTAATCTGCAGTCACCCCGGGATCGATAACGTAGCATCTCGAGATATTGTGAGGGCTCCACGCTAGATGTCGCCAGACGGCCATGCAGCCGGGCCGCTCGACCGCGTGTCTCGGGGTCGAACGGCCACAGCCAATCAGCGCGCCGGGCTTCCGTCGGTGCTGCCGCGACGCCGGCGTTTGCTCGAACTGGCCGCAGTTTCGCGACGAGATGTCAACGACAGTGGTTTTCACGAGTCGAGCTCCACGCGCCCCTCGCCCGACGACGACGCAGGCGGCCGATCCTCCGGCCAGAAACGTCAGCGGAGCTGTGCATCGTCGGCACATCAGCGATACGCCGACGAATCGTCGGCTCGCGATAGCCCGATAAGACGAGAGCGAGAGAGATAGTCGAACGGGAGCAACGGCGTGCCTGCAAGCGCGACCTCGTCGTCTCGCAACCAAGGCCGACCGCGGAGGCTGCGACGCGACGCGACGCGACGCAACGCGACGCAATCCGATACGATCACGTGGCCGCCGAACGTGTTTACTTTAACTGCGAGGACCTCGCGAGTGTCGGAATCGTCGACGCTACACGGACTTGCCACGCGATGTCAACGCGTTCATTTCGTGTGCTTCAGACGTGACGGGACTTCTCTCTCTCCCATGGAGCCTGGATGCTGCGTGCTCGCCACGTCGAGACAGGCTGACGATACTGTCGTCGAATCGACGCTCGATGCGATAAGGGTGAGTGGATGTTTCATACAGTCTTGATGTGTTGTATATACCGCATGCCGTGCTGCGCTGCGCTGTTGCTGTGTTGTTTGTGTCTCTCTTCGTCTGCTGGGAGGTTACGTCATCGCCGCGCCGCGCGCTTGCTCATGTGACAGCTGACTGCGAGAGATACCGTAACCTAGAAAGAGAGAAAGAAAGAGAGAGAGAGAGAGAAACAGAGTTTCAAGGTGGATCACGCTAATCTGGAGTTACAGTCCGAGTAATTTTGGAATTTGAATGAGTATCTAGAATATATAGACAAATAACACCGATAAGATAAGAGAGATATATGATGTGGGAGTTTCGATGCTATCTTAATCGTTCGCGTTTTCTTCGATATCTTTTACGATATCATAAATTCATTTAAAGATATTTCATCCAAGTCGAAGTCTATATTACAGTGAACAATCTCTGTCTTTCTCTCTCTCTCTCTCTCTCTCTCTCTCTCTCTCTCTCTGTATTTCTTCCTCACTTCTATATTCCAAGAGGATTTTAAGATGTCATTAAATTTTCGTGTACATATTCGAATCATACAGTTTCTCTTCGTTCGTGCGTTTCACAACGTCGTGGCTGTAGAGAAATACACGACGGAACGAAGCACGATTCATTTTCGGCGAGGCGTTAGCGACGATGGTGTTACGTGACCCGTACAATTCGCGTTAACATATTGCGCACGGCTAATGAAATTGCAGTAATAAGTTTGCGAGTACCTACAATGCGTGTCGCTTATTAAACCTCGGGGCGCCGCTCTCCGAAATTCCGCAACTGCTATTCCGCACGTTCTCTTCTCGTATAAACACACCTGGACGCTCATTTGCGATTACTGTCGCGCTGATACTTGAACTCGTCGCGAAATCGCAATTTCACAAGTCGCGAGATAATCCGCGCGAGCGCGATATGCTTACGGAGATTGTCTGGAAATCACCTCGACGATTCAATAGCGCCCATCACTGCCGCATTAATTCAATGGCGTTCGAATACTTGCGCGTCGCGCTGTTGAAAATCGCAGATAACAGACGAGCGGTCTCACGGAATCGAGTAAATCTCAATAGGGGGTGGGAGGCGTAAATCGTGACGTTTTAATAGTCACGTCCATCGACCAACCACCACACCACGCACTATACGTACGCCGGTACAGATCGACGTGGAGTAAGGTCTGAAAATTCGCGAACGAATTCGCGCTCGTCGCGATGCATTGTGCAGAAACAATGGACGGCTGTACGTGCACGGTGACCTAAATGCGCGGTAGTGTGCTTTTAATCCGCGGTGACGAAGCGTACGCATCGATAAAAGCCGTCATCCGCCGGACAGACAGACGGATGAAGAGCGGCCAGGAAAACCGCCGACGAAAAGTCTTCTTTCGCGCTTTTTCGCGCGAAAAACATTTCTCACTTTCCTCGCCGCGAGACAAGTGAATCCTTGGCTCCCTCCTTTATTCCTCCCGTGAGTGGTTCGCCACGTTTATTCGAGAGACCTCGAAATACGTCCGTGCGATGCGAAACTTCGCCCTTCTGGAAACACTTTCCAGAGGAAGTTTGCGAGAGCACGAAAATAAAGAAGTAGTTGCGTGATAAATATGTATTTTTTCATATTCAATCTTTTCTCTTTCTTTCTCTCTCTCTCTTTCTCATTTTCTCTTTCCTGGATTAAGATAACAACGTTATTAACACATTCATTATCGCACTAATCTTCTTTGATCGGATTTAAATGATTAATTATATAAAAAATACGGTAAAAGAAATATAATTCAAGACGCATATTGTAAAGCGCAAATCAAGGGACATATACTTTATCTTGTTTAATTAGTTTATTAAACTAATTTAATTAAACTAATTAATTTAATTTTATTAAGCCAATTAAACGAAATAAAATATATACCCCTAGATTTACGCTTTGCTTAAATTGTATCACTTTTATGGTATTTTAAATTTTACCGTACTTGAATTTCTATTGGTTGTATCTAAATATCGATTGATTATTTTTATATGTAATTAAATTATATCTATATATGTATTTTCATTAGTTACACGGTAATATTACACACGGAGAGAATTTTATACTAAAATTACTATAGAATTTTGTAACCGAGGGACAGATGGATATTTATCGACAGATGGATATTTGTAGATAATTACTAATTAAATATACCTTTATTTCACATGTGTTAGTTATATTTTAGAAATTGAAGTGTGCTATTAGAAAATTTACTGTTTCTAACAAAACTTACTGTCCTTTACCAAGAAAAATTTTACACTATGAAAGGAAAAAAATATCTAAAAGATAAAAAATATTCATTCGCGTTGAATACTAACAACACATTTACTTAAATTTAAATTCTCTTATCACAATAAAATTAATTAAATTGCTTCCACGAAAGGCAAAGGAAAATATATATTTTCTCATTTAAGAAATATTTTTTATTAGCACAAATAAACGTGTTATTAATATCCATCAGTTAAGTATTTCTTATCTTTTAGATATTTTTTCTCTCAGTGCATTGATAGTCTATTACTACACTGCTAGAGATATAGTAAAATCGAGAAAAATATGTATGAAAAAATCTATAATATTCTGTTCGTGTAGTATCGATCACTGACGCGGCGTTCAACGTGTCGAGTCAACGTGTCGATCCCATTTTGTTTTGATTTCGCTTCTTAAAGCCGATTGTTCGTAAAATGAAAACTTAACTGCCGCTCGTGTGCACGGTGTATTCTGATCGCGGGATTTCCTCGTTCTTACTTGCCTTAATAATTCAAGTGATTCGGGGCGCAATGGTCAACCGGTCGATATCGGAAGTAATCACGCGCGAGTACCGCCGATATTCGACGAGTACAATGGCGAACGAACCGTGAAAATGCGCGGCACGTGTGTGTATATATTAAACGGACGCGAGCCCACGTCCTCTTATTTACGTCCGCGTATTTGCATAAAACGAAAATGAGTTCCCTGTGCACTAATGGGCCGCTGTAAATCTCGGCGACGATTGCAACAACGGCTCGTTGCGTTGCGACAAATTTGATTCCTCTCGCGCAGGACGGCGATACGAATTTCGCACAGCAAATTGTACTTTATTATGCCACAAGTCATTAGTTATGCCGCGGTAATTAATGCTGACGCGTTCGATCGTGAGTTGCTCGCGTAATGGCTAGCTAAACAGCGAATTCCGATAAATTCGATGAGAATATTATCATGTGAGCGAAATGTTTCACATATATATATATATATATATATATATATATATATATGTGTGTGTGTGTGTGTGTGTGTGTATGTATTTTTAAATATCTTTCTCTCTCTCTCTTTCTTCTTCTGTTTCTTTCTCGTTTTAAATCAAAATGCTGCGCGATAATAATGGAAAAATCGGGCGCGCTTAATTAAAACAACGGCCCGCGCATTTTCCACATTTTTCTTACATGACACGAAATTAATTTCGCAGCAACCTGCGAAATCTCATATGTCAGAGGTGAGAACGAATGTACGACTGAAAAATCTTTCTCTCTCTCTCTCTCTCTCTCTCTCTCGAAGAGAGAGAGTGAAATTTTCTTCGAATTTTAAGTCTCCTTTTCGACACCACGCGATGTTATTCAATACTCTCCTCGGGAGAGCTGTGCGAATTTACATCGTCACTTGTTTCTACCACTTCGGTTCTCGCATTCTGAATTAATAAAATAGCGCTAATGGGGTTGCGGGCGATTACTCGCGCTCCATTAAAGCCTGCACGTAACGCGCGCGTGAGATTTCTTCCCTCCATCCCCCCAACAAGAGAGCGCCGGGAATCGTTTCGCAAACAAATCGCGCTCGCGCGACACGCGCGTGTAATGAAGTAATCGCTTGATTATTCATGCGACCCGCGTGCGTTGCGCACCCTGTTGCAATGACAACGAAGCGCGATCGCTTTCGCGACAGACGACCGTAACATGTCATCGGTTACGGCTGCTCGCTGGCTCGCTCGCTCGCTTGCTCGCAATGTATCGAAATCGTCCATAAGATCTTGGAAACGGCGCCATTATCGGCCACATGGCCGTAATCAGTCGTTTGTCTCGCGGCTCGATTATGGAGGCTGTCCGCCTCGGGATTGCGCCGAATCGCCGTCGCGCTTCAGCGCAACGTTTCACATCCAGCGCTCTTCCCGCCTGCCTATCGAGCCCGCTTCGATTATTCCGAAATATAATACAATTACGGCCGGCGCGCTCGACACGAACCGGATCGCGATACGCAACGTGCAATACTCGTCCGTTACGGATACAATACGTTGCGCGCGGGGTCGCCATGACTACACAGTCGTATCTGTGCTGCGGAGAGGCGGGCGAAGAGGGCCAGACCGGTTCGTGTGACCGCGCTTGTTGGTTCGCAATTTTTGCCAAATTATTTTCATACAGCAGATATGATCGCGATATCGAATTTTACCGCGCGGTTTATGTTACGCGAGGATGCGCGCCGCAAGCTCGAGTTTCCCGCATTTTCCAGCCTGGTACAATTCGCCAAGTGCTCCGCAGCGATATACGAAAATATATCGGTATTATTTCCCGCGATCATAATGGTGAAACAGCGATGACCCCATCTCCCAATTATCCGTCATCCCCCGCCTGTCTGCTTCCGCGCTAATGATACGTTTCGAAGATTAATCGACTTTAGCCCTTAGAGAATACAAAGCAGCGCGGAGCCGAACGTAATGTTCATCTAATCGCTCCTATTCTGAGCTAATATACAAGATACGCGATAAATATTGACAAATTAAGTCACATTAGGTAGATTAGGTTGAACTGAACGAAAAATTCCTCTACCATTTTTCGAACAAACAAAATATCAAGATATTAGTGAAGAGAGATCGGCGAATCAGCGCGTTTGCGATGTTGTAGGATAAGCTCTGTTAGCGCGAGATCTCATCGAACATGACTGAAACGCGACTGTTTCTCATGACGAATTCGATTGGATGCATTAATGCGTACCAGTGCACACTAAGGCCGGTGTCA